TTCTTGATCTTTCAGCAGATTGTCATCTAACCTCCAGTTGCCTTGCCTTCTCTTTTGGTTGTAAATTAGTTCTATTGGGCTATGATCCGAGTCCTTCCTTGTTAGTATCTCTATTTTATCGATTTTAGAAATCAATGAATGTGTTGCCCATATCATGTCGATTCGCGACCAACTAGAATGTCTTCCCGAGAAGTAAGTGTAGTCGTATTCATTCGGGTGGTGGCTCCTCCATGCGTCTTGCAGGTTGAAATCTTTTAGTAATTTGATCATCGTTTGTGGTAAAAGATTTGCCTTTATTGTTTTTTGCTTATTGGGTTCGGATTTTCTATCTTCCTTGCTATTGATTATTCCATTAAAGTCTCCCATCAATATTAGGTGGTCGTGTTCTACTTCCTGGATGAACTTTCTTAGTTTTTGTGTAAACTTTGTTTTAGGACCATTTGGTGCGTAAATGTTGCACACCAGTGTTCTCTGTTTTTCATCTGTTATTGTGATTCCTATTATCCTTCCTTCTTCATCTTTGAAAGCAAAATGTGGGTTAAGTTCTACATTTACATATATGGCTACTCCTCTTTTTTTCTCTTTAGCGAGTGAAAAGAATTCTTTACCTAATCTTTGATTTGTAATATGTACTGAGTGTTTCTGTGCGATGTGGACCTCTTGAAGGGCTACTATGTCATATTTTCCTTGTTTTATTCTATTAAAGACTCTTCTTCTTTTGTTCGGGGAATTTAGTCCGTTTATGTTTTGGTTATAACATTTGATTGTTCTCTCCATGTTCATCCTGTTTTTCTGGGATCTTCTCTAGTCTCGGTATTAATCTGCTTTCTGTCTCATCTATTTTTTCCGGGGATTCTGTTCGGCTTCTTTTGGTTTGTAGCCCTGGGATGTATTGGTATTCTTTTCCTTCCTCGTTCATTTTAATTGTTCTTAAAAAGTCTTTCGCTTTCTCCTCCGATGTTATCCATATTCTTTCGTCCTTGTATGTCGCCATTAGGCCCTCTCCTCTCTCCCATCTAAACCTGATATTTTGTCGTTTAAGTTCATCAGTCAATTCTTTATATTTTCTTCTTCTTTGTATTGTCGATTGGGTGTGTTCTTTAAGGATGGTAACCTTTTTGTTTTTGAAAAATGGTGGATTTTTGATGCTCTGTTTTAGAATTTCATCACGAATGTGTTTTCTTCCGAATTGTACAATCACATCTCTTTCCACTTTATGTTGTTTTGCGTACCTCGTCGTTATTCGATATGTCCTGTCAATGTTTGTCTCTGCATCCTCCTCTGCTATTTCTAGCAGCTCTGCTGTCATTGATACTATTATTTGTCTTAAATTTTCTTGTGCCTCTTCTTGTATGTCCCTGAATCTTAAATAATACTCTAATTCCTTTTGTTCGGCCTGGTCCAGTTTCGTTTCTATCTTCTCTTCTCTTAGTTCTATGTCTTCTAGTCTTCGATTGATTGTTTCTTGTGTTTCTTCTAGTTTAGCTACATCCGTTTGGTTTTTCCTCATGTCCTGTCTCATAGCATCCATTTCTTTTTTCATTTCTCCCAATTCGTTGGTTATCTCTTTCCTCATTTTTGCCAGTTCCTCCGTCAGGTCATTTTTGAGTCTCATTCTTTGGTCTTCTGCTACCTTTTGATAGGCATCTTGCTTCTCTTGGTATGCTTCTTGTTGTTCTAATATCTTTTGTATTTCCTTTAATATTTCCTTTCCTGTGGGATTTCCTGATACTGAGCCTCTCCTTTGTTCTGTTTGTTCCACGGCCTTTTCTGGATTCCCTACTTTTTCTCCTTTATTCTTGGGTGTTGTCATTTTGAGCCAGTTCTTCAGGGTCCCCGTTATGTTGATTTTTATCCCCGTTTTTGGTATATATGTGTTGATGTGGATTAATATCTATTTGTGTTTATCTTTAAGTGCTTGTACTTATCCGTAAATCAGTTTTGTATTTTGCTACGAGGTTTTTTTTATTTAATTAGTGAATTATTGTTGTTTTTATGTTTGTGTTGTCCCCCTTCTTCTTTTTCTTCTTCTATTTCTTCTATTTCCGCAATTTTCAATTTGATTCCGGTGTTTAGATAATTTATCTTGTTTTAAATTCAGTCAGTCTCTCGGGTGTTGTAGTCAATTTTATGCCTGTATCTCAGTACATTGATTCCTTATTCTCGTTCTTCCTTTTTTTTTTCTCCCCCTATTTGTGTCTTGTAGGTTAATTAATGATTTGTTCTTGTTAATATCTACTTACTGTATGTTGGAGTCTTGGGAAATATAGAGCTGGAATTTATTTTGTTTGGTAGGGTAGGATGTATGTAATATATATATGATGTATTGTCACTTTTTTATTGTTTTCTTAGATTTTTTTGCTTATTTACTTGATTATGTAGGGATATGGTAGGTATTCTGATAAGTATGTGGTTTATCTTCCCTTAATTCTTTAAGTTTTCTTTTGTGCTTTCTTGTTCAGGACGCTTTTAATTCATTTAATTCATTTAATTCCATTAATTCATTGACTTCATTTGATTCCTTTACGTGTTTTTCTTTATTTGTCTTAAAATATCTTTCCTTGCGTCTTTGCGCCCCTCCGCAATTTCGGTGTTCTTWCTTCTTCCTCTTTCCGTGCTTTATTAGTGTTYGTAGCTCTATCGTCCGCTCTTTGGTGCTTCGTTGTTTTTTCACTTCCTCCCTCTCTAGGCTTTCCTCTCTTTYGTTCCTTTCCGCCTGCCTTTAGTGTCACTTCCRCCTTCTCCTTCCGGAACCGCGTGCGTTAGGCTTTATTCTGGGGGGAGCRCGCCTCRTGGTGGTCACTTCCGCCTTCTCCTCCCAGTTAGCTTGGCTCTCTCCCRCCGCGGCTTTGTGCTTCCRGGGAGCGCGCCTCGTGACACTCTAATTCAGAGGCTGGCTAGCTAAGAGAGGCGCCCTTGAGGGGACGGCGTTCTCAAGGACAATATGGCAGGCAGGCCGGATTTATTTATCTTTTCCTCTCACGGATCCTGTGCCTTGTGTTATTTATATTTTTTGCCCTTTTTCGCCCCTTTCACCTCGAACCGCACCTTAAAACACGGATTTCTTCACTCTATTGCTGTTCGGTTCCCCTCTTCCCCCTTTCGATTCGACTTTCTGGGGTTTCTTCTGGGGTTCCTTCTCTTTATTCTCCTTATTCTCTTTATTCTATCAACAGCTACTCTTTTGCTCTTTTTGCTCTTTGCTCTTTGTTTTTATTCCTCAAATCACTCTTTTTCGTTCCTAAGTTGCTGCCACTCTTTCTCCTCCGGCTCCCTCTCGCTCTCGCTCTCGCTCTCGCCCTCTCTCTCCTTCCAATCCGTCTGTTTCCGATTTTGCTCTTCTGTCCCTCTGTCTTTCTGTCTTTCCTTCCTCCTTCCCTTTGACCAATCTCGGGGTGATCCTGTTTATTACCTTTTTTGATGTTTGTTCTGCTCACCTTTAACGTGTCCTCCTCACGTCCTTAAAATGCTGGCGCTCGGTCGGCTGTCGTTCCCGGATCCTTCTGGACGGGATACCTCCCGCTAGCCACTGCCTTCCTCCCGTCCGGGTCTGCTGACCGATCCCCTTGAGGGGGACCGGCTCTCGAGACCGTCGGATGGGCTGTGGAGGCTTTGCGTTGCCCGGGCCTTTGATCCGGCCCGGTGTAGAAGGCTCCTGCCTCCGCTAGCCTTGGATGAAGGTTGACTCAGTGGAGCTCCACCAGAGTCCAACCAGCCTCCATTGTCGCCAAACCGGAAGTCCACTGATCCTAGCTTATGATGTGTTCGTTTTTTCCAGTTTTTTATGTATGTGGTTATCTAAATGTAATGTTCAAGCATCCATGAAAAAAAGGCAGAGTGGGGTTCCAACATCAGTGGGGTGGGAAACCCTACCTGCAAAATAGGCTCAGTGCCTGTTATATATCCTTTAAGACTCCCAAAAGAACCACTACACTGGCATTAGAACTAACCATTTTTTTCCCTGAGCAAGGAGAGCATTTATAAAGTCAAATGAATATACTTCAAGGAATACACAGCAATGTTTGATCACAGTATGCCAGAACTGACATTAAACTGAACAAATAGCCTTAGTGCATGTAGTCCTGTTTAAAGGTTATTTTAAATTTATATCCGATTTAGATTTGCTCATGGCCCGAGGGCTAGCAGGTGTCTTGGCTTGCATCATAGGGCCAATTATACTGACAAGTCATGTCAAAAAGTCTTATCACCGAGAAAAAGCAAGAAGTCAATGTCTGCCACAGCCACATGTGCTCAGGTTCCCACTCTGCTTAATCTGGAATCCTCTTTGTTTTGGGAAGCAGAACAGAAAGTGTTCCTCAGTATTGAGAATGAGGGAAGTTTTATTTTGTTCAGGGATTTTAAAAAATTAAGAGCTTAGCAAAATTTGCAGATTTCTCCATGTGATCAGTGGAAGGAACCTGAGATTCTTAAAAACAATAGCAACAATTGAATATTAGAATAAACAAGATTCATAGATTTGGTCAGCTTGGATACTTTCCTTTTTGGAATCCTTTGCCTCCGTGTGCATTTAGCTACTTAGGGCTGCCAACTGTTTTGTGGGGGGTTTTGCTGACAAAACTTTCATTAACAACTATATGGGGATATATAAAAAACATCCACATATTTGTGAACATGTCAAGGTACCCAACTAAAAAAGAACACACACCGTCATGAGATGTATTTGTTGACATTTGAAGACTTATGTAAAAATTTCATAAAAATTTCTTTGTACACGTTTTGTATAAAATAAAATATTTTGTATTTTTAAAAACCCTTCGCATAAAAATCTCAAAATGCATAAATAAATACATAGTAATAAAGATCAAAAGTGTACAGAAACTATTAGAAAAATGTGTTGTTTATGGCCAAGAATTTCATTTGGTTTCTCTTGACAAAAATGACCTCAAATTCATAGAGGTGTTTATAAATGGCATGTGAGGGATAAACAGAGGGACAAAGTTGTGCCCATCCTTATTCAGTGCATTTATACTATTTTTCAGGAAAAGGAATTTGCACATCCGAATTAAGAAATCTGGAACATGCTGAGAAGGGAGTATCCCCTCTGCCAAAGAACTCAAGAACTCCTGGCTGCTCCTGTGGAAGATATGCACAGTTTACAACTGTACCGTTAACTACATGTGAGATTTTTCAGTCAATAAAAATGAAAGCATAGCAACTTTCTGAATGAATCCTCGTCATTTACCTTGAGTTGGAAAGGAATTCCCTGCCCTCTTCTACCATCATCCTACAAGGCAACACACTGGCTTTTATATGTGCATGCATAGAAATAGTATATAAACTGATCATATGCAGCACCAAAAATACAGCAAAGTCCACCTGGCATATGTTTTCATGACTTTAATACAGGAAAACATCAAGCAGACTTGCTCACATTTAAATATGCTTTCTCAGCTGAAAGAAAGATATATGCTATTTGACCAGCAGGTGGCACACTTGTACTGCAAAATGCCTCAGATCAATTGCCTTAAGTAATCTAAATGCAATTGATAGGAACAATGGAATACACAATTAACTAACTACCATACATTCCCATTCATTCATTGGAAATATGGCTGTTAGGATTAACTGAAGTGAGGCTAAGAAATTCCGAAAGGTGTACATTCCCTCCCAAGTTTATAGGAAACATATTCATTTTTCTCAGTAACCAGGAGCCCCCCCCCCCCCCCCGTGGCATCATGGGTTGAACCCTTGTTTTGACAGGAGGTCAGTGGTTCGAATCTGGGGAGAGTGGATTGAGTTCCCTCTGTCAGCTTCAGCTCACTATGCGGGGACATGAGAAAAACCTCCCACAAGGATGGTAAAACAAACATCCGGGTGTCCCCTGGGCAACGTCCTTGCAGATGACCAATTATCTCACACCAGAAGCGACTTGCAGTTTCTCATGTCGCACCTGACATGGAAAAAGAAAGTAACAATTAGATACAATCTATACATATAATAAAAGTCAAAGTTTGTATGCGGAGGACAAAAGTGTGGCGGTGTGGCGGTGTATGTGCCAGCATTCTGATTGGCCAGCCTGAAAGTTCCAAGATTCTGATTGGCTGCCGCTGTGGTGCTATTTGCATATGGTCTCTGATTGGCCAGCTTTACATGAGCCCCTGGTGGAGAAAAGGGTTCATGACAGAAACAGAGACATGAGAGAAGGAAATTTGAATATGGTCTCTGATTGGCCAGCCTGAATTCCAAGATTCCGAGATGACAAAGAGAGGAAAGGAAAAGGCCAGGGGCTGAGTCAGAACATTACCAATACAGACCAAACTTGGCACACAGAGCCCCCATGACCCACTCAACATCCTACTGCAGTTTGGAGGAAGATGAACCATGGATGTTGGGACTTGCAGTACCATCACTCACATTCTGAGACCGCTGCTAACCTCATCCAATGGCTGATCAGGACCAAACTTGACACATAGACCTCTCATGACCCACCTTATGTCCTGGTGTGGTTTGGCCGGGAATGGACCATGGATTATGGGACTTGCAGTACCTGAGACCACTGCAACCCTCATCCAATTACCGATAAAGACCAAACTTGGCACACTGAGTCTCCATGACGCACTCTACATCCTGGTGCGGTTTGGAAAAGGATGCACCATGGACGATGGGACTTGCAATACCTGCACTCCCTTCCTAAGACCATTACAACTGCCAACAATGATGGATCAGGACCACAATTCACACAGAGAGTCCGCATGACCCACTCTACATCCTGGTGCGGTTTGGAAGAATTTGACAATGGATGATGGGACTTGCAGTCACTTCACTCACTTCCTGAGACCACTGAGACCCTCGCCAATGACTGATCAAGACCAAACTTGGCACACAGTGTCCCCATGACCCACTCTACATCCTGGTGCACTTTCGAGGAGGACAGATGATGGGACTTCAAGTACCTCCACTCCCTTCCCAAAACTGCTGCAACCCTCATCTAATGTCCGATCAAGACCAAACTTGGCACACAGAGCCCCCTTGACCCACTCTACATCCCGATGCTGTTTGGAGAAGGAGGGACGATGGATGATGGGACTTCCAGTGCAGTTCAGGGTAGGATGGGCCACTAATGATGGGATTTGCAGTACTTTCACCCGATTCACTTCCCACAGAACATTGTAGCCCCTACAAATAACAGACCAGGCTCAAACTTGGCACACAGAGTACTCATGGCCCACTCTACATCCTGATGCAGTTCTAAGGGGGATGGATCATGGAAGATGGGACTTGCAGTATCTTTACTCACTTACTGAAACCACTGCGACCCTCATCCAATGACCAATCAAGGCCAAATTGGCACACAGAGCCCCCATAACCCACTCTACATCCTGGTGCACTTTCGAGGAGGACAGAGCATGGATGATGGGACTTCAAGTACCTCCACTCCCCAAGACTGCTGCAATCCACATCTAATGACCAATCAAGACCAAACTTGGCAGACAGAGCCCCCGTGACCCGCTCTACATATTGCTGCAGTTTTGTAGAAGGGTTGACCATGGATGATGGGACTTTCAGTACCTTCACTCATATTCTGATACTGCTGTTAACCTCATCCAATGACTGATCAAAACCAAACTTGGCACATAGACCTCTCATGACCCACTTAACGTCCTGGTGTGGTTTGGAAAAATTTGGAGATGGATGATGGGACTTGCAGTAACTTCACTCACTTCCTGAGACCATTGAGACCCTCGCCAATGACTGATCAAGACCAAACTTGGCACACAGAGTCCCCATGACCCACTCTACATCCTGGTGCACTTTCGAGGAAGACAGACCATGGATGATGGGACTTCAACTACCTCCACTCCCTTCCTAAGACTGCTGCAACCCTCATCTAATGACCAATCAAGACCAAACTTGGCACATAGAGCCCCCATAACCCACTCTACATCCCGATGCTGTTTGGAGGAGGGTTGACCATGGAAGATGGGACTTCAAGTACCTTCACTCACTTCCTGAAAACAATGCAACCGTCATCCAATGACCAATAAAGACCAAACTTAGCATACAGAACCGCCATTACCCACTTTCTATAATAACCCAGGCAGCGCCGGGTCCCCAAGCTAGTAAAATTCATAAAACAGCAATATGTTTGTGGACCAACTGAAAAGCACAAAATATATAGTTCAAGCTTTTAAAGATGTGTGATGGTACAGTCACAGGCCTACATTCTGTCTTAAGATGTTACTTCTGTTGCTTGTTAAGATGACGATGTAGTACTTTAAGACAAAATGTAAACTGTATAAATTTTGTTTGTTTCCTGATGAAAAAGCAGATGTCCCAGCCAGCATGGCCAATAGTGGGGGACTATGGCAGAATCATGGAATCCCAGATACAGAAGAGATCCCAGGGGGCATCCAGTCCAACCCTTTGCCTGCAAGAATACACAGTCAAAGCACTCCCAACAAGCAGACAGCTAAGTGTCTGCTTAAAAACCTTCAGAGAAGGAGATTCCATCACACTTCAGAGAACATAATCCAGTGTTCTACAGCCGTTATCATCAAGAGGTTTTTCCTAATATTTTGGTAGAATCTCTTTTCCTGTGGTTTGAATCAATTGCTCTAAGTTGTTGTCTTGAAATAATAATAATAATAATAATAATAATAATAATAATAATACTTTATTTGTATTCCGCCCTATCTCCCCAAGGGGACTCAGGGCGGATTCCAACATAACGATGGCAAACATTCAATGCCTACATAAAACACATAATACTAACATAAAATCCCAGAAAAACCCACGTATGAAAGTAACATTAAAGCCTAACATCAAATTAAAGTCTAACATCAGTAAATTAGACCGACCATCAATAAATTAAACATTCCCATTCATTCACTGGAAGTATTGTTGTTAGGATTGGGAACATTCAAGGGTTGATAAGACACCAGGAAGCACAGTCTATGTCACAGGTCCCTGGAGCTGTTCACCAACTAATTGGGCACAGGAGCTCCCAGCAGCCTCTTTATCAATTTTATCCCGTGCATTTGGCCCACCCACTGTGCTTGCATTCCTTCATCATTTTATTTTGTGTTTGTTCATTGTATTTGTTGTATTTTACTTTAGTAAAGGTAAAGATTGTCCCCTGACATTAAGTCCAGTCATGTCTGACTCTGGGGTGTGGTGCTCATCTGCATTTCTAAGCCGAAGAGCCAGCGTTGTCCGTAGACACCTCCAAGGTCATGTGGCCGGCATGACTGCATGGAGCGCCGTTACCTTCCCGCCAGAGTGGTACCTATTGATCTACTCACATTTGCATGTTTTCGAACTGCTAGGTTGGCAGAAGCTAGGGCTGACAGCGGAAGCTCACGCTGCTCCCCAGAATCGAACCTGCGACCTTTCGATCAACAAGCTCAGCAGCTCAGTGCTTTAACCCACTACGCCACCGGGGGCTCCGTATTTTACTTTGCTGTATTGTAATTCTGGGCTTGGCCTCACGTTAGCTGCCCTGAATCCCCTTTGGGGAGATGGTGGTGGGGTATAAATAATGATGATGATGATTATTATTATTATTATTATTATTACAAAATTCTATAATAACATAAATCTAAACAAGACATCCACATTAGTGTACAACAGCCAGCAATCTAAACAAGCCAGCTCCATCTTCCTTATTATGTCCTTTCAAATATTAAACATGACTTTATTATCCCTTCTCAACCTTTTTGTCTCTTAACCAGCATCCTAAGCTATGACACGGTTGTAGTAATCCAGAGAATCTCAGATCCCTTCAACATATGTGTGCTATAGAATGATGATCTATGTGGTGAAAATTCAACAAACTATCCCTCTGATATGGCATCAATAAGGTATCAAGTATCTTGCAAATGCTGAATGAAAGCCATGATGTCTAAAAATGTCTGAATCTAAGAGCTTGATATAAGAAAACAGGAATGGTCTTGTTGCTTTGACTTCATGGCTCACTGTCCCAGAAATGCCCATGGCTGATGGAGCAATGAAGCTCAGGGGATGGATTAGGAGAGACCTATCACACCCCTTACCTGCCATCTGAAATACTGCTCATTGCTCCTGGTGCTACCAACCACCACATCATCATCACTGTCCAAACCTAACATCACCCATGGGTTCAGTGACTTTAAAGCACCATCTCTGGTATTTTTGCAGTTAGATCCATTCAGAATCCCAGAAATTATTGGGCTGCTT